ATAGACTTTATTATCATAAAAACAAAAAGTTTTTTGAGAACGTCTGTTTTTTGGGTTGGCAAAAGGATCAGTGGAAAGAGTTTATAATTATAATTATTTCTTTGAAATTTTTATTTATTAAAAAATAGTAGCAATATAATTTGATAGGTTTTTATAAGATAAAACAAGGATATATTTAATAGGAAATTTAAATATATCTCTGAAAGTTTATTGGAAATATACTAATAGTTTCTTAGTTTTTTATAAAATTATAAAATCTTTTAGAATCTTTTTGTATTAAAAAAAAATACTTTAAATTTAAGTTTGAATAAGCAAAAATTTTTTAATAAATTAAAATGAAATAAAGAGAAAAGTAGATTAAAATTATAATATGTCTTTAAATATTTTGTTCTTTTCTTTATAAATTTGAAAAAGGTGATAAATATGACTTTTAAAAGTTTTATTTTGATTAAAATAGAAGTTTTCTTTAGTAAAGTTACAAAATTGAAGGGTTTTATTTTAATAAATTCTTTGTACTTGTTATAGAATTTTTAATATATCAGAAAACTTTTTAGGTGAAGATTATTAAGATCTTTGTTAAAAATTCCAGAGTTTTTCGTTTGTTGTCATAAGTTTCTGAAAGGAGATTTTATATCTAATCTCTGGAGATTTTCAAAATTTTAATTAGTTTTAGATAAATATTAATTACATGTAATTTATTGCTTCAATCTTTATATGTGCAAAAAAATTTACAAAATTTTTTATAATTTTTATTCATTTAATTTTGTATTTTCATTCATTGCCAAATTCCTTTTACTTAAAAATACATTTATCGGGTTGCTTTCCATTATTCAATCATTTTCGTGTCCTTCTGGAGTATCTTGAACCTTTATTATCTTCAACATCAAATTTACACGCAATTCCATTATGTTATGTATGATATGGTAGATTAACCTATATACTGTATACTGTAGTTAAAGATTTTAGAAAAATGAATTTTGAAAATATTTTTACGGGTAGTGTTAACGTGATTCTTAAATAAATAGATACAGTAAATAAATTATTATTTTAATCGAGAAATTTTCGATGTTGCTATTATAATATCACAAATATAAAATGTACAAAGTGGGGTTAAGTAAAAACATTCTCCTCCCACAAATAGCATCTAGAGTATCATAAATCTTATGATGGGTGCACTCATTTTATCTTTATTATTATTAGGATTAATTAATAAGCGGTTTGATGGCAGACTAGAAAATAGATTAATTATTAAATATATATTATCGATTATAATAATAAAGAATACTAATATTTATAAGAATGTATAGTCAAGTTTTTGTTCTCTATCGGGGGTGTCAAATATCAATTGAAAAATTTATCATTATATTATTAAATATTACTTGTTAAAACTTAATTAGCAAAGGTCAAGAGTATCTTTGAAGTGCTTTAATAGCCTTTTCATAATTGTTTTTCGCGGCCAGTCTTAGATAGTGTAACCCCTTATTCTCATCTTTTTCAACACCCATCTTTCCTTCCATGTAAATCTCGCTCATGAAAAATTGTGCCTTGGAATTATTATTTTTCGCAGACATTTTTAAATATTTCACAAATTCCTGATTGTTCTTTTGAGAATGTTGGAAAAACGCATAGCGAAGTTGACCTTCAGCATTTCCGGCATCCGCGGCCTCTTTGTAGATTTTGACTGCCTCCGATTGATCCCGGGGAACGTAATGCCCTTCGAATAGATAATATCCTTTCCAAACTTTGGCCGTCAGATCTCCAAGTTCGGCATGCATTTCAAAGCACTTCCAAGCCTTTTCGTATTCTCCGACTTTATGCGCTCTCAGACCATCTTTTAATTGTAACACAGACCTTGAAGATTTATCGACCAATCTAGATAAATTTATGAACACGTTTTTTATCCACGGACGATCTTTTGGATCGTGTTTCCAGCCTTTTATGATTTTACATAAATGGAAGCTTATAACAAATTATTTACACAATGCAAAAAGAATTTGGAAATATTAACGTACATGATTCGATTACGCGACGGAAGTCACCGACAATTTCTGTTCTAGCAAAAAACAGCGTTTCCCGACGTTCCGACAATACATGATTCCTGACTTCATCTAATTCCATACCCTCATAAGGAATTTTTTGAAAGGAAATTTCCCAAAGTAACATACCAAAACTATCAAATGTATTATATGGACGTTTAGGTTCGACAACTCTGAATAGTCGTGTCTAGCGAAACACTGATCTTTAACCAACGTCGCACATATACTGACCTAAATACGTCGCACTTGAAATCGTATTCGACTGGTCGTATTCTAGTCTCCTGCATCTTTTCTGGAGCCATCCAACACAGCGCACTATCAAAAGACATCGTATTTACACCTGATGCAGATAATCCACGAATATTTGTAATTTTTGCTTCATAATAATCTTTTTCGGTGATCTTTAAATACGTATAATGTTGGCGAGCCACTTAGAAAAGATACATGTTCTTATTGCGGGTAATTAATTAATGTACTTACCAAAATATTTTCACAGCGGATATCTTGATGTAGTATGTCGCACGCATGTAAGAATACCAAACCTTTGCATACATCACGTGCCAATCTGATTTTAGACGTCCAGTCTAGATGTTTCGTTTTATATAATTCACTTAATTTCCCGTGCTCCGCCCAATCATGCACAACAATTCTACTATTTTTATATATAGAAATTCCATGAAATTTGATTATATTTTTTGATGTATTCATAAGACTCAGAATTGCCAATTGTCCTTTAATGGAAATCTCATCATTAGAAGCCAAAGGTTTGCATGCTACAGGTATTGACGAGCTCAATATTCTCTTGAAAACTTTTCCTCGTAAATCTGACGATTTTCTCAGGGATGGATGTGTCAAGTGAGTTGCCGGTATCTGCGATACATCTAATCGCTCATTCCTGTATATTTTTTCACGTATTATTGAGATTTCGATGAAAATAGTACCCGACTTAATGCTATTTTCTGTCTCGTCCTCAATCAACTGTAAGAACTGAGTGGCAATGAATCAGAGTAAAATTCGTGAACGAAAGAACGATACAAGATCAAGTTAATAATCAACTTGAGTTACCTTAATCATGGTTTTTTCGTCCTCTTCGAGATACGCCATCTCACTTCTACGATCTAACGAGAATGTAACGTCGAGGTGCGAGCCTCGACAAGTCTTATCAAGATCACTTAGGAATTCCAAGGATTTCATTTTAACCTCCCTGGGGCTTTTAAACTTATAATAACTTTTGAGTTGCGAAATGTCTCGAAGAAAGTCTCTTATTTCTCCAAATTCTACGCAAAGCTGAGAAAACGAATGCAAATAATCCCGATCCAAGGGTGATGAAGTAATACGTTTCCTGTCGGCTTGTATGATAGCTTCGATTCGATGCAAAAATATTGAACAAGTTTTTTCATTGTACTGGGAGTCTTTGTGGATTGATTTAATATCCTCTATCAATGTTTGAAATTCCTTGACGCAGGATGCGTGCAAGTTTTCCGCATGCGTATTCTGACTTATTTGAACATTTACCGAATTTGAATGACTGTGGGTGTTTGGATCCTCATCCTTTCCTTTGCACTCCTGTATGTGAAAATACCAACTCATTAATTACCGAAGCGAGAAAGGAGAGAACCAAATTTACGAAATGGAGAGTAACACGATACTGTATATGGTATGGAAATTTTAAAAATCATTGAACCTTTTATATGATCACCTCATTTTTGTGACACAAACAAGAAAATATTTTGATTATTTGGCCATAATGCAAAAAACCGGTTTCAACTAGATTTAAACATCATCAGATATTACATACAGCACTTGGAAAGGAAACGAGTGAAATGTCTAATTGGTTGGGTGAAGCGATTTCTCAACGTCAAATTAATTATTATGAATATTCTAGTTTCAAAAATGTCCAAGAAGTTGGTAAGGGTGCATTTGGTTCGGTGAGCTCTGCATGGTGGGAAAGTCGTGGGATAAAGGTTGCATTGAAAACACTAATCAATGATTGTGGGGATTCTGACCCGAAAAATGAAAAATTTTTAAAAGAGGTACAATGAATGCTTTGTTTTTATACATGCTTCTGGGTCTTATTTTAACAGAAATCCTAATAGACTTTTTTTCATTCATTCTCTCTTTGATTATTTAGCTTTTGCTCTTAACAAAAGTGAATTACCATCCTAATATCAATCAATTCCTAGGATTGACCGAAGGTTTGTGATGGCCAACTTTTTTGTTTATAAAAAAACTTTTTATTAAACTCGCATCCTAAAATTAGATGTAGACGGGAAGTTTATACTGATCTTGCAATATGCAGATCAAGGTAATATGCGACAGTATCTTGAAAAAAATTTTAAATCGTTGTTGTTTCCTGATAAAATTCGCATGGCGAAAGATATAGCGAGAGGTCTGAGATGCTTGCATGAAGAAGGAATCATTCACCGGGATTTGGTATGCTTCCCATTTACAAAGTTACGTTTGCACCTAGTTATGCGAAGACGTTTTTTTTTACAGTATTTATAATTTAAATTGATTCCATCACAGCATTCCAAGAATGTTCTAGTTCACGAAGGAAGAATGATAATCGCAGATCTTGGATTAGGAAAAGAGTTGGATAAGGTTCCAATAACCTCAGCGTCTGATGTTCAAGGAATGCCTGCTTATGTAGAACCACAAGTTTTTCGAAATACAAAGTACAAGCGTGATAAGAGGTCAGACATCTACAGCCTTGGTGTCCTTCTCTGGGAAATTTCAAGCGGAGTTCCTCCCTTCAAAGGCACCCTTCCACAGAGTATACCCATTATCATATACAACGGTACAAGGGAGTTACCGGTTATAGGAACGCCAAGTGCTTACGTTGAGCTTTACACAAAATGCTGGAGTGACAATCCCAAAGACCGTCCTGACATTGTGGAAGTAATTGATTTTCTTGATGAAGTACCTCCAGATTCGGACATTAAATCATCACAACCAACCATTAAAGTAATAGAGAGCGATTCAAGAAGTATGAACATCAAGCAGGAGGATACGAGGCTTACAAATTTTTCGTCATCGGCTTCTGCTTCGTTTTTGCAGGTTAACAGAGGCTCGTCACTAAATATCTCCGAGAACTGGAATCATATTCAATTGTCAAATGACGCGCTGGGAATTGATAAAAAAGACAATCCTATGCGTAATGCGGATTCTAGTAAAAATTTGGATTCGAAAGAATATCGAAAAAGTGTAATTTCCAATTTGTCTAAAGAAATTTTTGAATTGCAATTGATATGCACGCGAAAAGGGTCGCGAAAATCTTGGAAAGATATGATAACTTGGATTGAGAATAACAAATCAAACGCTCGAGAAATTTTTGAATTTTTCAATAATAACGATTTTTTACATAGAGAGGTGATATTAGGTAATTTTCATAGCATAGGATTTGGAACAGAAAGAAATCTGCATGAGGCTTTTCGTTGCTTCATAAAGGCAAGTAAGGGGGGTGATAGATTGGGTGATTATGAAGTGGCATTATGTTATGAAAAAGGAATTGGCGTCACCAAAGATATTGCAAAGGCCATTTATTTTTATGAGAAAGTCTCCAGCACTGAGATTGATGGTGAGAATTCACACGATGATGGTGTTGTTAATGCGAAATACATGCTTGGAATGATTTACTCCAATAATGATGTTGGAGATAAGAAAATGGATGCATTAAAATTGGTTAAAAGTGCGGCTGAAGGTGGCTATGCGCCGGCACAACATTACCTTAGTCAATATTATCAGAGTAGAGATTTGGAGAAAGCTCTTGAATGGGCTGATCGGTGCGAAAAGAACGGTGGATGGAAGTAAAATATGTATGATAAAAATTTTTTTCATAAATATTTAATCATGATAGCCTTAGAACATTGACTCTCGTTTCATGTCGCTATATTTCACTTTCTCATTTTCTTAATTACGCGGGAACAGACGCGCGCGTTGTAAACATTAAAATCATTGCATGACACCGTGGTGAATCAATTACAGTAGTAATAAACACTCACACCATATATAATCGATCTGTTTTCTTTTACATTTATCAATCAATTATTGTGGTATTATCGTAAAAACAAAAAATAACATTTGATACGGGTTGTGTTTAATAAACGTACGAGCGTACAAACAAACAATAGTTGATCTGGAGAAGAAATATGATCTGATTGATCCCACGAGAACAAATCTTATTAGAGACGTTAATGATGCTTGTGGAATTTCCGAGGGGGGTTTTTTTAATGAGACAATCAAACGTGTGAAAAAGTCGAGATGTGATGAATAGCATTTTTTTTTTATAAATATATATCAACATTCGAAGCGCACCACATGAAAGCGAGATAATAAAAATTTTAAGACCTCAAGATATCACAACGCACGCAAATCAGTGTATACAGTACAATGTTTAACGTGACACAAAAATCAAATGCGCACGTATTTAACAATTAAAGAAATTGCGTTGTGCTCAACTTGACATTCGTGGGAAGTATATTCACAACTTCCATGGTAAGTTAAAAATTGCTCTAGAAAAAAATTCAGGTTCACGACATTCGATTAGAGAATAAAAAACAAAATGGCGCCTCGAATGGATTGGTGCTCCATTATAATGTACATCCTCGTTACGTTTATATACCTTAAGATGTCTGCGGCGCAACATCCCATTTTTAATGAACAAAAGATGACTTCTGACATTGTCCTTAAAGAGCGCGTAGACACAGAATTGACACCAAAGATGTGGGAGGTTTGTGAATTGATCTCTTTGAATATTTTATCATGTTTGTCTTGTGTTAAAGAGAACTTTTTTTTTCAGTTTTTGGGTCCTTTTCCGACTGGAACACGTGAGCAAGACTTTGGCGCGGATCCTTTGGAAGCTTATGGTGAGCCCGATCTACCGTTTCAGAGATGTTTCTCGGTTTGATATTGATTTTAAATAAAGATGTACGCGAATTTTGAAATATAGGTGGATTTGCCAACATCACTTTTTCGGAAACTCACACATTTCCATCAGAGCTAGCGGATAACGGAACTGTAGGTTGGTCAAGGATTAACACCAATTCGGATGGATCAGTTGGTCCAATTTATTTTAACAATATAAGGTAAATGACGAGTTCTACTTGTTGGGCATCAAATGCCTAAACTCATCATATTTTGTGCGATCAGATGGAAATTTAATAGGGTTCCCCTTGGATGGGCTATGAATCAATTCCAAATGTGGGCAAGAGGATACTTTGAGCTTTCCCCCAAGGTTAACGATGATTCCAAAACGATTCCAATATTAATACAATGCCAACCTATTGGTGACTTTTATGTGGACGACCGAAGGTTATTCGGTGATTGGTATGGTTACGAGAAGTCATGGCATGTGTTACACCTTCGGCCCGGAAGACACGTTGTTAACGTCCGTGCGGTGTACGAAATAAGGGCATTTGGTGGAGGCATACCGCCGGCTCTTAAATTTAAATGTTTGATGCGAAGATTGAGAACGGATGAAATGGGTGTGATGATGTTGGATCGCACCATTGTTGTACCTGACTTGGTAGGCGGACGCTTGGCGGGAAAATACATAAACATCGCGCTACTAAATACTCATGAAAAACAGTGGATCACTGTATCCAAAGTATATGTTGTCAGTAGTAATGTTAAGGTATGTGATTTACATCTATTTATCTCACGATTACATTTTATAATTAATTTCAGGCATTCTGCATATGAAAGATCACGGCATCAATTGTCGAGCATAGAAACAATAATGTTTCGAATCCGGGAGTGAGACTTGCCCCATCACAACAACGCAATATTAGGATTCAGATGAAGATTGATTCTCCGGTGTTTAGAGGAATGACGATATTCTTTAAATTACAATTTGTCGTATCTACAAAGACCGAGGGTCATAACACTTACTGGATGATAACTACGGATCAAATAACAATTCGTAATAAAGATTTTGGGGAAATATATAAGTTTACTTTTAAAGATTTTGATGGAACAGTTCAATATGGTGAGAAATTATGGAAAGCTCAAGATCTCTCAAGTTCGTTCGAGTCGCTGACACAATCACATGTTCCATTCTTATGATTGAGAAAGCGATGGCGTTGCCTCCTGCAGAATCGTGTCGTCCTAAGAAGTGCCCAATTTTAGTTGCCTTACATGGCGCAGGGGCTGAAGCCGAAGATAACTTTTGGATCTCTGCCTATAAAAAACAAAAAAATGCTTGGGTATTTATTATTTTAATGGGATACTTCTGGTGTTGGTTTTTTGATATCATTTTTGTTGTTTATAGGTACTCCTACCTACTGGAAGGACACCATGGGGTTATGATTGGCATGGTCCGAGCTTGCGAAATATTCACGCAGCCATAAAGACTTTGGCCACACGCTTGCCGGGAGTTCCGAAGCATGAAAAACGCACCATCATTCCCGATCCTAAAAAACTATTCGTTTCAGGTTTCTTTTAATTCATCAAATTGTGGGTTATGAACATTGACCATTTAAATTTAGGCTGATTCATGATTCTATTAAAAGGTCATTCAAACGGTGGTCAGGGAGCGTGGTTCTTTATATCGCATTTTCCGGATTTGGTTGTTGCGGGTAAAATTTTTTTCATAGGCTGTTAAAAAAAAAATCAAAACCCCCCCCATTTTTTAAAGGAAAAAATTTCATCAAAATCTTATAATCTTAGGTACACCAGTTGCCGGCTTTTCAAAAATTCAGAATTATGTACCTTATCACTGGAATGGCGAAGCACACGTAGACCCAATTCTCCGAGGGGTAATTTTTGTTGGATTTTATTGACCCAATGCAAATTCATATTTTGATAAATTCCATCGCTCCATAGATTCTGGAATCATCCATATCAGAATTTAACAATGACCTATATTCATCAAATTTGGTGAGAAAGAATATTTTTTAGAAATTTTTGCTCTTTTGAATGGTACTAGCAAACTAAATTAAATAAATAAAGGTAGGCATTCCAATATTAGCCCGCACAGGTGCAGATGACGATAACGTCCCTCCTGTGCATTCTCGTATGTTGATCAGGTTAATCAATGAACATTCGGGAAATCCACATGCAGCAAAGTAAGCAGTTTTGGATTGAATTTCTAAAAATCCTCGAGCTCACAAACTATTTACCTATAGCCTCTCCGAAGTTCCGGATCAAGGCCATTGGTTTGAGGATGCTATGAATGATGACGCGATGCAACGATTCCTGGATGAACATCTAAATATTTCGCATGATAAAGAAGAAAAGTTACCGCCGTCTAAGAAATTTACAGTCTCATTATTAAACCCCGCAAGTTTTGGAAGCAAAGGAGGTATCCAAATAGAGCAATTAGTGATCCCATTTAGGTAATTAATTTATTTATCAACTTTAATATAAAAAATATGTAATTTGTTTCTAAGTACATTTTTTGTAGGCTGGGTAAATTAAATGTGCAGATGGACGTAAGAGAAAACGGTCAAATAAAGTGGAATATAAAGACATCCAATATTCGTCGATTTAGATTTGTCCCTAGTGATAAGTTCATGTTGGTCATAAAGAACGTCGAAAGAATTATGATCGATGGAATAGAATTTGATTCGAATCATTTTACGTCAGATGGATATTTCGTAAAATCTAAAAATCATACTTGGAAGGTAGTATGGCAGGTTTTCTAAAAGTGCACATTCTTACCCGATACTAGGCAATAAAAATTTTTTAAAGTTCGATAGTAATACCAAATGGCTTCATAAGGAGAGACATCCGTTGACCTACGGTCCAGCGCATCAAATCCTCGAATCCTCGCAGCCATTGATAATAGTTATTGGAACAAAACATAAATCACAGAATAATGGCTCCAGATTTTTGGAAATAGCACAAGAAATAGCTCATAGTTGGTATCTCTACGGCCGGGGAGATTCTGAAATTTTCTATGACGAAGAAATATTAATTGAAGGCAATAAAATTGGAGGGCGCATGAGGGGGAATCTAGTATTATTGGGCGGTCCATTAGAAAATCATATTACACACTTGTTGTTGAAAGAAAGAAATAGCGAGGGTATCCATTCTTTTAAACATTAAGTATATTTGATTTTTGTAATTTTTTTTTTTATTATTGATTAATGAGAAACCTTTATACTATAGTCATATTCGACAAAGATGGCTCCTTCTCTTTAAAACACGCCAAGTTTTCCGATCCAGGAATAGGTAATTCTTTTCGATCCAGATAAATGGAATATTTATTTTCGCATTAACATTCGTTTCTTTTTTTTTTTCCTGGTCAATAGGAATTTTATTTCTACATCCATTTAAAAGATCCCAATTGGCGCTAATTATAGCGGGAACAGATGTCAAAGGTTTGGATCAAGTCTCCAAATTATTCCCGAAAAGGACAGGGGTTCCCGTACCTGACTGGATTATAACTGGACCGGAAGTTGCCTGGAAAGGAATTGGTGGAATACTCGGTGCCGGGTTTGTATAAAAAATTTTGGGTTATCATTTGTTGACTTATTGACTTTACATTATCTTAACAAGTGAAAATGTTGGTTGTTAGATTTTGGAATAATAAGTGGAGATTCGATGATTCAATTGGATATTTAGCATGAACACAGCAAATATAAAACATGTGATTATGTGTAGAAACAAATAAATTATTTTCTGTAATATTGCACCGAAACAAAGTTATTGTCCGGAGTTATGTGAAAGACATAATGTTTAGGGGATAATGGTATCAACTTAATTATGTCCATTATGTTTAGGAGGGTATCAACTCGATTATGTTCATTATATCTATTTATGTCCGTTATGTCCATGATATCCGTTATATCGTCTCAAAAATATTTCACAAGAGCGTTTTCAATTCGCAGATAAACCCAACATGCTCATATACGAGTTCAAAAAGTTTTTAAATGAAAACAATGATGTTTGCTGGAAACCTGAAAGAATGCATTTAAAAGAGACACCTAACATTTCCCTAATATAAGACTAATCAGATAAATGATGCTTTAATATTAATGACTTATGAATTAAAAATAAAACATGATTTATAATTAACACCAAGTTCGCGTAATTATAATACGTCTTAAAATGAATAATCAAAACAAATATACATTTTATTAACATTCATTGAAGCGAGGATATAGTAAAATATTGTTAGGTTATACAAATTGGAAGAGAAAATTTTCCTTATACAGTACAACAAATCGTAATTATTGTAACCATTAACTATTATGCTAATTCCATGACCCAACTTCTATTCTGTTCGTCATCAAGGACATTCTTTACGATCAAGTTTTCTCTAACCTCCGGCGGGTATTGCGAAAGAATATCGAAAATCGAAAATTCGTTAAAGTTTTCTTCCTCTTGTAAATAAATCAGTCCTTCCGTGAGAAAAAAGGAGGTTATGAAATCGAGGGTGTTAATTTCTAATTCATTGACTTGCTCTCTAACTAGCAGATCCAAAACCATATTTTTAACCGTTTCCCTACTTCCATTATAAAAGTTGTTGGCGAAATGAATATACGGAGCATCAAGAAATGATTCATCTTCTAGATAAACATCCACAATTTTAGCCACGGTCCTGGAAACCACATCTTCTTGCACTTTTTTAAAGAACTTCTTACTAATATCGTTATCACATAATCCAAGTAAAACTTTATTTCCAATAAACCCTTGGAACCTAAACGCTAATCCCACAGGAACTTCGAACTTGTAATTAGAGTCTTCTTCGTCTAAAATTATTAACTTTAAATCTTTTACCGGATCGATATCTGCCAAGGAAGTGTCCGAAATTGTTTCGGCCACGAAAAGCTTAAATATGTCGATAGCAATGTCCTTTATTTTCGTGGGAGGCATTACTTTTCCTTTTAAGAGCTTGCAAATGACGAAACGACTCATAGTGAAATTTAAAAATTTGTTATCCAAATATACGTCTGTGAAACTTGAGACGTCTTTGCAGTTGTATGCGTAAAGATTTAACCAAGCGCTGGTTTTACAGCTCGAAGGAAGAATTCTATCCGTGTTTCGATCAAAGAAATGAAGAGTACGAGTAAACTTGAGATCGAATAGGAAAGATATGTCAATGTCTATACAATCAACGTATTTTCCGGCAACATCACCGAACTTCAATTGAGAGTCAAAGAAATCGTCGCTAATCTCAATTGTGTCACCCATAAAATCGACTTCGTTACTGGCTACGATAGTTCGCGAAACATCCGACTTTTTCATTAAAGGTGAATGGTTGTTGCTGTTGTTATCCAGTGGATATTGATCATTATTTGTTACATGTTTGTCAATGCTAGTTTTCGTTGTAGTTAAATTACTGGATTCGGGTAAATTCCAAACACGATTAATTAAATCCAGAGTGTCACTCGTAACAGATTTTTTCATGTCATTAAGAGATTCATAAACTTGACTAATATCTGGACGTTTGTTTGGATCACCATCCCAACACACTGAATAATTAATGAATGCGTCTTTAATTTTAAATCGCTTATTACAAATTGTCATATACTGTAATAAAATACATACTTGAATAAAGTTTCAAATATTCATCTGGTGTCCCTGCAACTTTTGATTCTCTGCGGCCGGAAACTATTTCATTGGCAAGCAACAGATAACTTTTTTCATTTTTTTCCTTTTCAAAAGGCGGGCTCCCTGATGAAATTTCCCACAGGAGGACACCCAAACTATATATGTCGCACTTTTTGGATCGATAAGATTGCTTTGGACCACACAACAAGTTTTGCGGATCAATGTAAGGTAGCACGCCATATGTTTTACTATTATCCGATAATTCCGAAAGTTTTCTTGATAATCCGAAATCGGAGATTTTGATTTTTCCTTGGTGAACTAATATATTCATTGAATGCTAGTAAAAAACGGATAAGAATTGCAGTATGTTAGCCATAATATCATCTAATTTGTAAAGTATTCACACACAAGTCTAAAATCAGAAGTTTACCAGATCTCGGTGAATGATGTTACGATCGTGTAGAAACATCACGGCACTTGTCATTTGCCGAGATAGCTCAAACTTTTTATTCCAATCGAGCATATTTTCTTGTAAATATTTACGGAGCGTACCACCATCAGCGTACTCAAGAATCAAAAAGCATTCATCTCCTATGGGGAAGGGGTTAATAAATGATATGAATGATACAAATATATGATACAGAGTCATAAAATTAGATGTGAGCGGTAAAGTGAAAATAGGTTATTACCATTCCTGCAAAACCCGAGAAATTGTAAGATGTTGTTATGAAAATGAACTTCTCGATGTAACTTGAACTAAGGTAATCCAAAAATCCAATTTAACATAAAATATCCTGACGTACACATAATAAGTCTGGTCACTTACTTCATTAATAAAGGCTTTCATAACCGCTTCGCTATTAATATTCAGAGATTTCATCGCAACAACGTTTTTATACTTATCGTTCGCCTGATACACGGTACCAAATGCGCCATTACCAAGGAATTTGATTTTATTAAATTTTTCGTGTTCGAATACTTCTATTTTCAATTCTCGGATTGACCTTTCAAGTTGATTCGACCAGTTGTACGTTGTCGAAACTTGACGGTCGTCTAAATAGGCATACATCGTAACAAAGTATTCGTCTGAAGGTAAAAAAGAATTATTCTCCGTGATCTGGAGTGAGTCAATTTAAGCATCAATGGTTTCTTTATCGTATTACGTACTTAAAGTGGCGTAGCAACATAAACTATGGCAAGGATTAACAAGTTTTACTCGTTTTCGTTTAAACCTTGCATTATTGTTTCCTGATCCGTTGTCAGATCCTCATCTGATACTACAAGCAAAGACTTGTTGGACCTAACCGTTAACCAAACTTAGGAAACCAGGCGCAGATAACTTTTGTTTATTAAAATTGACAAAAAAGCGTAGACAGGTTTCTGCCGGTTCCATGCATCCCATTTTCACTTTGTCTAAATAAACTTCCGATATTGGCTCGATTGGAAATTTCTTTTTAGTACAAACTTTACCTTATTAGCATTAGAAAAGCATCATTTTTACGGATAACGCGCCAACACCTCCGGAATCAGGGAAATGCAAGTCACGCCATATAGTATTGTTAAATTTTAATGAGTTTGAAAATCATTTATCATTTTCTTCTTACAAAAGATTTTATCTGTATGCTGCTCATTCTTCAGCGGACACAGTGCAATGAAATCACGCGGCCGCGAGTCATCAATCTTTAATACCGCATTTATCACGTGATAGATTTTCACGAAAACATTGTTTACTGGATTATGGGATCTATTCGCCCGAGGGAGTGGCGATCGAATCTAAGATCCAAACTTGATTTTGTTCTCTATCAAGAACATTCTTGACGATCAAATTTTTGTTATTCCCTGGGAAACATTGGGAAATCACTTCGAATGCAGAAACCTTGTCGGGTTCCTCCTCTCCTTCCTGTCGTAAATAAATTATTTCTTCACCGAAAAAAAGTGACAAGTAATCATGAGTATTTTTCTCTAACTCTTGGACATGATCTCTGGCCAACATATCTAAGATCATTCTCCTAACATCCTCCCTACTATCTCTATATATTTGATTAGCAAAGTGAATAAAACGAGTATAAAGAAAGGAATCATCTTCCAAAGAAGTATCTACAATTTTAGTTATCATCCTGGAAACCACCTCTTCTTGTATTCTCTTAAAGAATTTCTTGCTAATTTCATTATGAATTAATTCGAATAGAATCTTGTTTTGACTAAATTTTCTAAATTTGAATGATAAGCCTACGGGAACATTAAACCGAAAGCGAGAACTTTCGCCATCCAGAATTATAAGCTTCACATTTTTTACAGGATCAAATTTCATTAAAGAAGGCTCTGGACCCTTGCTCAATCCGACCAATGCAGATATATCGGATACAATATTTTGCACCGTTGCGGGCAAAAGCCTTCCTTTTAAAACCCGACAAGTGACGGTACGGCACAAACTGAATCTTAAGAAATTATTATCAATGGAAACATCTGTTAGATTTAAAACATCTTTGCAACCATGCGCGTTGAGATGTAACACGACGCTGTTTTTAGGATACGTTTCAATTGCAACTTCGTGTTTGCCATCAGGAAAATGAAAAACTTCGTGTTTGAATTCTATTTGGCTAAATATGTTAGCGTAATCGTCGTTGGAAATGTTTTGAAGGACATCTCCGGAAATTTCCGATTCCACAACGTTGTCGGCAATGGTATCAATCGTGAAATCAGGCTCATTCATAGCGCAGCTAATATTATTCCTCGAAACCTCACGGTCTTTCATTGATGACTCGTTATTGGTTACGTTATTTGCCAGATCGTTTGAATTTTTGGAAAATTCATCGTTCCTCGAGGAATCATGAACTTCTGCTAAGGGTAAAATCAATCTGTCTTCCACGAGACTTATACTACGAATAGGAGCGCTGTTTCTTGAACTTTCAAGATCATTAGTTGTGTGTGTAGTTAAGGGATCTTCATTGATAGATGAAAGAATTCCTCTATAAAATTCCGTGTTGGCTATTAAGGACATATGAAAAGAGCTACTTCTCGAGACATGAGTGACCGTCGAAATTGGGACCGATGAGTCATCACCATGAATTTTAGAGGCGGTGTCACTTAGCTGATTCTCTTCAGTGGAAATCACAACCGAACCATTGGAGTTCTCCCTTGTAGACGAGGCCAAAGGATTATCAGAATTTTGTAATTCTCTGAAAAAATTTGAATCGACCATTACATTAGCCTCATTATTCGTGTAATTAAATGTGTTTCTTGATAAATTCGAGTTTTCTCTTGAAGGAGATTCAATTGGACTTTGAGTATCGTCAACTTGAGGGTCACTCGTTACACCAGATTTAATCATATTGTCAAGAGATTCGAAAACTTGATAAATATCTGGACGTTTATCCGGATTATCATCCCAACAGCCTAGAAGAAATACAACAAGAAATACAACAATATTAATTTTTTTGAATTTACTTTATATTATCACGAGTATGCATATAATAACATTATAACCTACTTGAATAAAGATCCACAAATTCACTGGGTGTTCCCCTGATTTTAGATTCCCTAACGCCACTTGAAAGTTGCAACATGAGATCAAGTCCATGATTCCTATCTTTAAATGGTGGGCGTCCCGAAGAAACTTCCCATAATAAGACGCCCAAACTGTATATATCACTTTTCTTTGTTCGTCGAGAACGATCGCGTAAAACTTTTGGATCGATATATGGTAATACGCCGTATATACTTTTATTAGAAGAGCTTTCTGATAGCTCTGACAATCCTTTCGATAATCCAAAGTCGGCAAGTTTTATTTCGCCTTGATTAATTAGGATATTTTTTGAATGCTATTTGAAAATAGAAAAAAAAAAGGTGCATTAATTGTAAATTGAATGAACAAGTACACACTTTTATTATGCAATGGTAGCATGAAAATTTACCAGGTCTCTGTGAATAACGTCATGATCGTGTAAAAACATGATGGCGCTTGCCATTTGCAGGGAAAGGTCGAGCCTCTTATCCCAATCGAGCATGTTTTTTTGCAAATACTCGCGAAGGGTACCACCGTCGGCATATTCGATGATCAGGGTGTAATTCGTGTTGCCTTTTTTTTTACGGAATAAAATAAAATGACAGTGCAGTGTATTAATTTTTTCTCATGATATTGACGAGTGAAAAATTTAAAGTTTAGTACTGTCAAGCAATCATGTAAATTAAGAGTTACCTTCCTTGCAAAACCCGTGAAAACGTAAGATATTATTATGAAAATGAACTTTTAGATGTAATTCCAGCTAAAATAAATAATGAACGCATAAGACAAACGGGCTATTCGTACTTAATGAAATTCAGTAGACGCACTCCACTTACCTCATTAATGAAAGCTTTTATAACATCATCACCATTAATTCTCAAAGATTTCATG